AAGCCAAACAAAGTAAGTATGAACAAATGACTTAATCTGTGACATAATAGAATATAAAGAAACATGTAACTGAGTATTTAGCTTAATTTGCAGAATGTTTGATTTGCCGGCAACAGAACGCTTACACAAACAAACCCGGGATAGTGAGTGAAGCAATGTTACTTGACAAATAGCAGATCATAGCAAATACATAGAAACAGAATAATGTGTATAATGTGCAAAAAAAAAAAAAAAGGTAAACACATATGGGACAAATGGAGAGCATTGCAACTGTTCCTCCACTTTGTCACAATGAGAAGGTGTCCAAACTTTTGACTAGTAGTGTACATGTGGAGGGGGAGAAATCTAGGAAAGATGGCAAGGGACTTTTTAATCTTGGAGAGTGAGAGGATGCCTGAAAAATGGAGAAGTATAGCTACTGATTTAGAAGAAAAATTGTAACGTTGGTGTGCAAAGTTGTAGTAACTACAGAGAGATAAAGCTGATGAGCCATACCATAAAGCTACAGGTGCTGAAGAGTTGCTGAAGCTAGGTTAAGAACAGAGGTTAAGAACAGAGGTGACGATCAGTGAGCAGCAGTATGGAGAGTAAGAGCACTACAGAGCTGATGTTTGCTTTGACAGTGTTGATGGAGGAGTTTAGAGAAGGTCAGAAGGAGTTGCACTGTGTTCTTAAGGATTGAGAGAAAATATAGGATAGGTCAGACGAGAGGAACAGTGGTGCTGCATCAGGAAGTCAGGAGCAGCAGAGAAGTATGTGAGGGTGGTGCAGGACATGTATGAAGACAGTGAGCCAGGGGATAGGATTACCATCTTGCCCCTTCTTGTTTGCAGTGATGATGGGCAGGTTGGCAGATGAGGAGCCAGAACTCTCCAGCAACTCTGATGTTTGCACATGACATTATAATCTGTAATGAAAGCAGGGAGCAGGTGGCGGTATGCTCTGGAGAGAAATGGTAAATGGCCTGTATTTGTATAGCGCTTTTACTAGTCCCTAAGGACCCCAAAGCGCTTTACACAACCAGTCATCCACCCATTCACACACACATTCACACACAAAAACTGTTCCAAAATAAGTTGACTGCTTAGGAACGCTGCAGAAGTGCAGAGTGTGAAAAACAGCATCACTATCAATCACAAATATCCACAAAAAAATCTTGATTTTCACCATGTTGTGAAGGCACCGCTGCAGAAGTATTTGCATACAATGACATTTGACCACATCCAAACCAGCTCCCTGTGAGGGAGAGCTATTTATAATATGTTTTACTTAATGTAAATAGATTAAATTAGTTATTTTAGACCAATTATTGTTAGAAATGTCACATCTTACTTAAATATATTATGTTTTCTCTAAACAAATTCATATTTTACATTTAGATTAACGGACTTGTTTAATTCCCGTATAAAAAATGTTGTTAATTTAAATTGTTTTGTTATCTTAAGTAAATCACACAAGAAAAAAATGAAACAACTCAGATTTTACTTTACAGTTTAAGAAACTATGTTTTTGTTTTCATGTATTTTTTTTTAAGAAGAAGAAGAGGGAAAGAGCTGGTATGGTAAAGCTTCGGACTACAGAGCCTGAACTGTATTTATTTTCTTTGGTTCTCTGTATATTAACTTAGATTAATTAGATTTATTAATATTTATTAATAAATCACATTTATCCCAAAAAGGTGTCATTGCAATTTTTCCAGTGTATTTTGTTAAAAGTTAGAAAAGAAGCGTCTAAGAAATCTTTGCAAAAATCTGTAAAGTGGATTCAGTGGTTGAAATCTGTGGTAAAAATAGCCGCTTCCTAAATGAGTCTCAGTGGTTCCATAAAGAGTGTTAACCATTTATTAACATTCAAGCAGCTATAGGATTTTTCACATTTATAACTCCTAAATGTAAAAATGTTCACATTTCTGATGTTTGTTTTCATTTTCACAAGATCGTTAAAATTTTCTATTTTGAAAATTAGAACATTCCCCAAACCGACTCAAATGTGTAATTTCCACAACAGACACAAGTAGGCGCTGCCGCAAACCATCACAGTAGTTCTCTGGCCTCCACAGCCCGGCCACACCTTAAAAATGCACACTGACCAATCTGCCGGC